AAAAAAAAAGAAAAAAAGTCTGTGACAGATGCAAGGGATCAAAAATTTGCAGGGAGGATCACTAGCAAGAACAGAATGTTGAACAGTAGTAAGAGAACACTTTCTCCAGAGTTTTCTGAGACACATCACCAGTATCTCTTTGGATTTGGATTAGCTATTTTCCTGGTTATGTAGAATGATATCAAGAATCATAGGATGAGAAAAACTTTCCACATTGAAGCATAGCAAATGTAAGCTTTGTATAGGGACAGTTGGGACTCAGGTAGGGTGAGATTAAGGCACTGGGTCCCATTAAGAAGTACAAGGGAAATAGCCTCTATATCTCAGCAATAAGCAGAAGCTGACAGCCTGTGGTTTAGACACTTGCTTCTTTGTAGCTATGCTGAGTCAACAGATTGTGGTTTTGACACCGTCTTCCATGTAGCTACACTGTCCCACCTAAACTCCTCTTTATGTGGATTACTTCCTCCATCACAATTCCCCTATTAGCCCGCCACACCTAGTCCCCTAGCAACAAGTTCAATAACCAACCAAACAGTGACTGTCAGACCTGGAGGAGATAGGACCCCTACCCATAAAACAAGACTGCAGCTCCAGATTCCTTGTAGTCCCAACTCTGGGGCCTGCCACTCCTCCCATGTGGATCTTTACCACTTCCTCTTGAAATACCTACAGTCAATTTTCTTTTGCTTTGCACTCACCTTCCTACATCAGAGAGAAAGAGAAGCTGAAGGAGGGCAAGTCCCTGGAGTCCTATACCCCAGACCAAGAGACCATAACACTTTGTAGTTATTTAGTAACAGAATGTGCTTTAAAAACAATTCAAACCCTCAAAAAACTAAGATACTTTCTAAGGTTTTTAGAATGTATGGAGGGATGGATGGAGTAGAAGGAAAAGAGTACATTGGAATTTCAAATATACACTCAGTTGTGTGAGAAAAGTACAATGTGCTCTCCAAGTGAGTCAACAATTGTCAGTTATTGCAGCTCTAAAATTCATTTCCACAGCAAAAGGAAACATAGTGGCAGTATCTGAACCCTGTCTTTTTCATAAATTTGCTTACTCAGAATGAGGACATTAACCTGGTTGAGAAATCCAAAGTGGCTTTACTTGAAATACCAAAGGAAATGACGCAGAAGAGCCAAGAGGAAGGGGATATATTCAGTGTTGCACCATTTAAAACGCAGAGGCTTCCAGGCTCCCTGCTCTGATTCCCTTCCCCAAGGAACACAGGTAAGTACTATAGCTGCTGAAGCTTAGTGATATGGGTTGCTTTTGAGAATCATAGCAGTGGCATATTTTATATCAAGCATAAAATTGATTACATTGTACTTACTGTGATGAGGAAAAATTAAAACACCTCCTTTACCCTTTACCTGAATAATTTATTTGCAAATAAATACATTCTTACAAGCACTTAGACAAGTGCCTAAAAATCATCGACAATGATAGAAAAGTCGGAAATATCTGTTTAGAGCTGCCTGGAAGTGATCCACAGAGATCTTCCTCTTGGCATTTTTTGCAAAGTCTTTGTATCTAACCCTAGCATAGATGATGGTGAAGGAAAGATAAAGATATTCTGTTATTATTTGTACAAAAGTATTTTTAAAAATAGTGTTTTTCATGGATTTTTCATTATGGGAGGCTTGAAAATTAACCCTAATAAAAACCTTAATTGCCAGAATCCGGGAACACACATATGTCATTTTCTTCAAGGAAATTTTTTTGCAGACAGATGCTTCATCAATAGAGTTATATTAACATTATATTGAATTTTATGCTTCCTAGGAGTTCCAGGTCACTCTAAGGTCACTATGAGTTCACTTAGTGAAGCGAACAACAACTTCACCCTTGATCTGTTTCAAAGGTTAAGAAAATCAGAAGGCAATGTCTTCTTCTCCCCCATCAGCATCTCAGCAGCATTAGCAATGGTCTACTTAGGGGCCAGAGGAAGCACTGCACAAGAAATTGAGAAGGTAAGTGTGAAGACCATTATATTGAGACTTGTTACAACTTTTCTGTTGGCTAACATGTGCATACATGTGTGGGTCTGGTGGCTGATGGGTAGAACAGGACAGTGAGCAAGCTTTCCCCTGACTGTGTGATCAAAGAGCTGTGGGACAGACAAAACACCCCCTATGTTTGTGTTGCTCTTCCTGATGCCCTGATATTATTTGGAAAGTGAATCTGACCTTCTAAAACTGCCTAACATTGAAACAGGAACTTAACAGTTTAGGACTACTGATGTAGGGATGCCTGGACTTAAATGCAAGGGATACACCACCAGAGGCTTCCTCAACAATGAGTGGATGAACATTCTTTGAAGTGTCTAGTAATGAACCTACTTTGTTGTGGCTTTTCAAAGAACACATTCATGTCCTGATGTTTGGAGATTTTTTTTCTGTTTATTTATTATTTTTGTTTATTTTCATTTGCTTTTGGTGATTTTGTTCTGAATCTCCTCCCCAATTCCACCCCTGTTCATGGGGATTAGATCAATCCATTCACACTGAACTATATCTCTTATCCTTTTACTTTTCTTCCCTTCTACTACATCCTGTTCTTCTTCTTTTTCTTCCCCCTCCCTTTTTTTCAGAGTCTCCCTAACTTGCAAAAGTGTGCGGATTGGGTTTCTATCTGTGACCGTTCTGCCTCAGCCTTCCCAGCATGGTTACATGACAGGCATGCTCCAAAAACAACACACTTTTCTGGTTTTCTTTCCTCTGATTTAGATAGATCTTTAAGTTAAATTTTCTTGTCCCATTTCCGTTTCTTCCAGGTCCTTCACTTCAATGAAATCACAACAAAGTCAACAGAAAAAACTAAAACTGCTCGTGTAAGTACCTGAGCACTTTGATTGCAGGACAGCTGCAGATATCTGAGAGGGCCATAGTTTAACTCTGGAATCTTACATAAACTGAGAAAAGCCAACTTTTATGGAAAATCCTAAATATGAGATAAGAACATACAGAGTGTATTCACATTGCAGTTACACAATTAATATTCTTGCGGCTTTTTATTTTAATCAGAGATGGTCAACAATATATTAATGAAAGTGAGTCTGAAGCAGAACAGACTGGGTTCAAATTCCAGTTCTGTTCTTCCCACAGGGTGAACATCAGGAAGACATGACTGTTCTGAGTCACACTGTCCTTATCCCAGCAAACTGGGGTAAAAAAAAGGAATCAGAATCAACTCCTGCAGCACTTATAAACAGCTCTGGGGCTGCCATAAATAGGAAGCCATAACAAATTTTAGTTAATAATGAATGACAATTACCATAAGTTTGACACTACTACGAATATAACTCAATTTTTAAAAAAAAAAAAACTTTAGAAGCAAAAGAGTCAAGCACTAGTTGACGTATATTTTGAAAAAAGTTTCCTAGTAGATATATTCATTGAGAGCCTTAGTAATAAAAAACTCTCACATGGCAAAGAAAAATATGTAGAGTCAAATAGACATAAGTAGAAAACTTGGTTCTGCTAAGTTAATCTCCTTGGAGAGGTTGTTTAATTCTCTCAGCTTTCTTACTTCCGCTGAATAAGACTTTGATTGCCTGTTCTTATTCCTTAGCTGGATACCAGGCAACCACTGATCTTAACATGTGGAGAATGACCATCACACGGGAAAGGCCACAGATAGCAAGCAAAGTGTCTTAGCAGACAGAAAAGGACCACACTAGTGGGTATCATAGGGTTTCATATTTTAAGCTAAAATATCCAAACTTCAACCTGACCATCTTTGATGGCTGTTAGAAATAAAATGTAGAGTTTGCCTAAGGAACATCGAGTTTAACATAAAATATAAATTATTTATAACTATTTAATTCAATGAAAATCTAAAGTACCAAAAGTTTAGTTCAACAGAAATCAAATAACAGCATTTTATAGCTGGTAGCAAGAACTTCCTGGAAGAAATTGAATGTAAGGTGGACCTTATTAAGATTATATGATATAAAATATCTCTAGTATCATAGAGTAAAAAGAGGTCACCTTTGAGATCACAAACAAATTGTTATTGATCTAACAGTTTTCACAGGGGTTTAGTATATAAAGAGCTAAATACTAATAGAATGAGCACTCGTTTTGATATTGAAGGTGGAAGAATCAAGAAGTGTGCATCACCAATTTCAAAAGCTTCTTACTGAACTGAATAAACCCAGTGATACATATGAACTGAAGAGTGCCAACAAGGTCTACAAAGAAAAGAGTTTCCAATTTCTTCAGGTAAATTTCACCTGGCCCTCCACAACTTTCATCTCGGTCCTCTATCATTCCTATGACCCTGGCTGATTCACATGGACAGTATTTCTGAGACAGCATCAGTTCCTTTACCTCAGCAGCACCTTACTGTAGTGCTCTAGGCTCTGATAATCGCAAGGGTAATGTGTGAGTTGATGCAAAAGGAGATGTGGGGCAACAGAGCTGATATTGAGATGGCATAATGAACTGGCACTGAGTCATAGAGAGCATGTTTTAAGTGCAGAAGAATGGGCCATGGGATGATTCTGGAGTAGGCAGACATGGAAGAGTCCATGAGGATAAAAAAAATAGGAAGTACCAAAGGATACTTACTTCCTTACTTCCCAAGATGGAAGATATAAACAAAGATTAAATTTACTAGAGAGAATTCTCTGATGCAATTCATCTCCTTCAGAGTAAAAAGCCTTAACATTTGCAGACCACAGTCTCTCCCCCAGCCCCTTGCTACCTTTCGGCAGGTTTGACTTTCAGGGACCTCCTTTCTGTGTCAGCCTTTACACTGCCTAAATGGCGTCCACATAAAAACATGGAAGAGACCATGGATTTGGTTAGGGTATAGATTTGGTTTACTGGAATTATAAGTAAATACACTTGATGATGCAGAAGTTGCTCTTAATTGTTCCTTTCTACTTTTATATCTCAAAGGAATATATAGATGATGTTAAGAAATTTTACCTAGCTGATGTGGAATCTGTTGATTTTGTAAATGCTGCAGAAGAAAGTCGGAGGAAGATCAACGCCTGGGTGGAAAAACAGACGCATGGTAAATAATGGGATGGTCACCCATGACACAAAGGCTCGAGTGCCTTGGGAGTGAGCCCAGTGTCTGACCCAGCAGGTGGGGTGCTCAGGTGGGATGTTGAGACGGGTTTGGGGAGAGGGTGGAGGAGCACTCTAGATGGTGGAATGGCCTGAGTAAATGTGGAGAGTGCAAAAGGGAGCCAGGAGGGGAATCCCAGAAAGCCAGTAATGTGGAAACAGAGCTGATTTATGTTTTGCCCATGGCCCTGGGTGACAATTTCCTTGTGGATTCCATTCCCTACCCAGTACTATTTTGACATCACATCCTTTAATGTAAGCTAGAACCAGTCTTATATTAGGTACTAGCCAACTTTCCATGACTGTGACAAAATACCTGGCTAAACAACTTAGAGGAGGAAAAATTTATTTTGGCTCATGGATTCAAAAGTTTCAGGCCACGCTTAGCCAGTTCTGTGGTTTTTACATCCATGATGAGGCAGAACTATCATGACAGAATGTTGTAGCAGAGGAAGAGTGCTCACCGCATGGCATCTAGGATGCAGAGAGGGTGAGAAATCCAGAGAGCAAGGGTTAGGAACCAGTGTATTTCCCAAGTTCACATTTTTATGCTTCACTCCCTTCAACTCGGCCCCATATTCTGTATCCATCGCCTCCTAATAATGCTGCTAAATTGTGATTTCATCAATGGATTGACCTTCTGATCAATAAAAAGCCTTCATTATCCAGTCACTTCCCAGAGCCCATCAGGATATAAGCTTTCTACACAATAAGCCTTTGGGGGCAACATAACAGGATTCTAAACATAGCAGAACCTTCAAGATCTATCTAATAATAGTGTTCATTTTGCTAATTGGGGAATATAGAGCCATCATGCAAACCACACTTCATTCCAGGTTAACTGGAACTGCCTGTATCACGTCTTTACCCATACCTCCTACAATTATTATCATATCGGAGACCTGGCTAAGATCCCCAACTGCCTGTATGAGGGATAGGGCAAAAGGATGGCATAAGAAACAGACAAATTTAGTAATGCAGGCAGGGGGACTAGGAGTTCATTGCCTCAGGATGGGCAGAGGCAAAGACACTCCAAGCCAGCCACTATTTATTGTGTGTATACAGTAATAGGAGAGGCCAGTGGAAGATTCAGTGTTGGGGAAGACTCAGAGATCGATGACTCAGCAGCAACAGATAATCCTGGACTGACTCAAGAGGGTGGAGATGATTCCATGCTAAGGATCTTGTCCTGGAATGCTTTTTAATCTCTGTGGTTTTAGTTTAGTCTTAGTGGGTAGGAAAGGATGGCCCATCCCTAAAGAATTAAAGGGAAATCTCAAAAGGGTGATACTGACAATCCCAAGCCTTCATTATCCCTTAGGGAAGTATGCAACATTAGCCATTGTGAATTTGTGGTCCCCAGTATTCACAAATGTATTCTCCATTCATGACTGAGAGCTTAACAAAGTCTGTACATGGTCACCTACCTTTGTCTCCTACCTCTGACACAAGCCAAGCTCATGGTAGGCAGTTGCAGAGGAGAATAAACAAGGAGTAGTTTTTGTCAGCACATTGCATAGGTTTCATTTATCCTGCCCATGCTACTACTCTTAAAGAATGATCAAACCTATTTCTTCTGAATAGTGCATGCAAAATTGGAATACTCCAAAGGAAAGTGGAGAGGGAGGAGTGAAAAGAAATTGAAAGAGTAGATGAAAGCTGTTTTCGGTACTTTTTGAAATGACTGTAATTACCCAGAGACAAATAGCCTGAAACTATTTCCCAACTCAAGCACTGGCAGCTCCATCAGAGGTAATTCTGAGACTGACACCATGAAGAAGGCTGCACTAAGTGAACAGGTCTACCAGTCCCTAAAGTAGTCTCTTCTCTGAATAATTAATGATCAGCCACACTGTATCTTTCAAACAAGCAAATCCTACCTTTCTTGATAGACTTTTTCTTTCCTCTTACAGAAAAGATCAAGGACATATTTCCCAATGGGACTCTCCAGAGGAATACCCAACTGGTTCTGGTGAATGCAATCTATTTCAAAGGGCAATGGGATCTGAAATTTAAGGAAGGAAATACCATAGAAGAAAAATTTTGGCTGAACAAGGTATTGACTCTATTTTATTTCCTTAATGCAATGTAGTTTCATGGAGAAAGTTAATATATGTAAGTGATGACTATACCACTATAGATAAAATTAAAATGTGTCACAAGTATTGTTTCACTATTTTACTCTTGGAAATTTATTTAGTTAGGAGTACCGTTTACTTGATGTTTCATTTATTACAGGATAGTAGCAAATCTGTGAAGATGATGAAACAAAACAATCATCTAAAATTTGCCACTTTGGAAGATGTACAGGCTAAGGTTCTAGAAATACCTTATAAAGGCAAAGCTCTGAGCATGGTTGTACTGCTGCCAGATGAAGTAGATGGCCTGCATAAGGTAAAATTTGCACTTAAATTTCTTCTTTCTATTTTCCAAGAAGAGAATAGCTTTTAAATAACCAAGAAGAGAAAAGCTTCTAGAGCAACATGTCTCAAAATGAAATATTCAACAATGAAATGATGATTTACCTTTTTATCACAAATATTTTGCAAATATTTTGTTCACACATGATGATGGACAATTAATTAATAACTGAGTAGATGCATTAAATTTCAATTTGATAATATTAAAAGACAAATGTATACTTGGTGCAGAGAAAAGATAGTAATGTGGGAAATTTTACAAATATGGCTAACAAAAATTAAAAATACAGCTACTATAACTACCATATACAGTAAAGCATGAGTATCAGAAAATAAAGTGTATTTAAAATGACACATACATTAGATTGGTAGCATAAGGAGTAATGATATGTAGTTGATTTTGTACAAAAATAATGTAATGACAGATTTGAATGTATCTATATAAAATATGTGCACATATCATCAAATAAATATATACTCTGGGATGTTATTTCTGGTCCCTAGAACAGCATCTCATAAACTGCATCGTCTGTATATTAAATATTTTGCTAGAGTAAAGATTTCCATGTATTCCACTCATTGTTAAGATGCTGTAAAGGATTACAGTTAATCGTGTCAATTTCATTTTTTCCCATTTTTAGCTTGAAGATGAGCTCACTGGTGAGAAATTAATGAAGTGGACAAGCCCACAGAATATGAAAACGGTAAATGTGCATTTACAGTTCCCTAGGTTCAAAGTGGAAGGGAGCTATGACCTCCAGGCCATATTGGAAGACCTGGGAATAGTAAAAGCCTTCAGTCCAAAGGATGCTGACTTTTCAGGCATGACCAGAGACAGGGATTTAGTAGTGTCTAAGGTCAAGCACAAGTCCTTTGTGGAGGTTAATGAAGAAGGGACAGAAGCTGCAGCTGCTACTGGCATTGGAGCGATTGTAACTTCTGCACCGATATATGAAAACTTCCATTGTAATCACCCTTTCTTATTTCTCATCAAAGAAAATGAAAACAATAGAATCCTCTTCATTGGCAGATGCTCTTCCCCTTAAACATCATTACTCTGTCACTCTTTGGGGGAAAAGTTCACAGACTTGTTTCAATAAACTGATGGCTGCAAGCAATAGGTTCTCTTGGCTCATTTTTTTCTCCAGGCATATAGAATTCAATGGTTCATTTAACAAGACTTTCTGTTTCTCTTTCTATACATACATACAAATTCACAGTTCTATCTATGAAAAATTCCCATGAGCACAAATATGCAGTGTGAAAATAAAAGGATATTTCAATAACCTATATTCTTAATTTGACATATGATTTCATTTTGACCTGTTTTAAATGTTTAAGAATAAATCATATTTCTGTTCAAACTCATTAACCTCAACTCCCACACTGACCTTAATTACAGTGATAATTGGAAGCCCTCTTACATTTCTAAATATTGTGAGTTTTATAAAATACAATATCAACAAAATAATGACCTATTCAAATAAACTGTTGATATACCTCGTTTTTTATTCAACAAAATCCAATGCCTTATTGCACATAAGAAAGATAAATTAGAAATGCATTAGTCAGGGAGCAGTGAAGCGGAGGATTAGAGACACTCAAGACATATCTGCTGCTCCAGAACTTTGAACCAAATCAACAGGGGTAAGGCCCCATGCTGAGGCTGAGATGCCCAGGAAATTTCAAGAGAACACATGGAGAGAGTCAGTGCCCAGGTGAAAGCCAGACTACTGGTTTTTGGAAAAATAAGAGAAGTGGAGGGCCAGGGACATAGCTCAGCAGCACAAGCACTTTCTCACAAGTGCAAGATCCTGAGTTTGATTCCCAGTACAAAAAAAAAAAAAAAATTAAAAAGAGAGAGAGAGAAATGGAGTATCCTGACACAGAGTGCTCTATTGCTTAGTGGAGGAGAGGAAGTACCCTGGACGCTACTATGAGTGACAGTCTCTGTAATCTGTACAGAGTCCTGCACACAGTGGACAAGCAGTGAAGAAATAGGAGCCTGGGATCTGCATAGGGAACTGGTGCTGGTAAAGGGTTTGTGGACACTTCCCAGCTTGTTTTAAGAAGGATCTCACTGTCTGAACTCACGGCTTGAGAGATCAGAAGCTCCTGCACTTTTTACTTCCTGGATCCCAACAGCTCTTCTCTTCACTGACTGAGAGGGCATGCACATGAGAAACAATCAAGTGTCATCCAAGATAGTGACCGACACAAAACCTCTGTGAGCTACAGGCAGGGGACAGTGAAATCACAGAGGTGGGAAAAGAGAAAGGTGCTTTCATGTAAAATGGCCTCTCAACCTCTGTGACACAGAGAAAGATAAGCTGTGTGTGGATTCCTGTAGGACTGCATTAGAGAGCACATTGTCTGAGACTGGCAGAAGTTGTTTCACCTGATGACTCCTCACCTGTTACAGATCCCTTTGATGGGTCCCTTCCTTCACAGACAGAGACACTCAGATGATTCTCCCCTGGACATGGATGTCTGCCAAGCTCCAGAGCTCTTGCTTCTGGAACCAAGAAGTCATATCCTGATGAGCCTAAAGGCTTGCAGGGATAGAGAGGATCCTGGGTCCATTGCTGATCCCTGGCCCAGGGTTGAATACAGAAATGAATATAGCCTTGTGGCAGACATCTTTCTTAAATATTGAAACAGAAAACTGACTACAGCAAAAGAACGATGGCTATAAGTGGCAGAGTGAAGAAAAGAAAGAACCATGTTTTCTGGAATCATGGTATGTGGTTATGGAAATGAGTAGATATGCATGAGACTATGTTTAGGCGCATGAAGTTACTGTGAGAAGTTCATATTTCATGTAAATCAAAGAGGAAAAGATCAGTTGTAGGAAAAGAGAACGTCTACACTGAGGTTTCTTGGCGATGAAATTACAGTGCCAAAAGAAATGAGAAACTGAGTTATGAGAGATCAGTCAGGGGGCAAGGTTTCATTTGGTTAAAAAACATAGAACATTATATATGTCCTGACTAATGCTGGTGGGGTGGAAAATGGGGGAAATTAGGTGGAGATAATATGATTTTTTAATCCAAGATGTATATTTATGAAATTGATCCTACAAATTCTTTTTAAAATTATTGGTATTTCTTTCTCTGTAGAAAGTAAATGAGAAAGGGGCTGGGGATTTAGCTCAGCGGCAAAAGCGCCTGCCTGGCAAGCGCAAGGTCGTGAGTTCGGTTTCCGGTACCGGAGAAAAACCAAAAAAAAAAAAGAAAGTAAATGAGAAAGCTAATTCATCTTGTTCAGAGATTATTCAATATATACATATCTAGACCTGTATTTTAGAGAGAACCAAAGGATTACAGTAATCGGCATATATTGTACTATCTGATGCTTGATCAGTCTTTGCCACTGAGCATTTCCCTGTAGACAAGCACAAGTACATTCATGGCAAAATGAAGTAATAAAATATTCTTGATTTGCAGCTAAATGATGATGAGAACACAGCCCTCACTAAGATGTAAGGTTTGGGAAATTCTTTGACATATTTTTTAATTTTTTTATTTTGAAAAGAATAAAAAATTTAAGAAAACATTTAAAATGATACAGATCAAAACAAGATGATAGGAAATTAACAATCATTGTTAAATTGCATGTTGTTATCTTCAAATTAGTTGTTCAGATTACCAAATACAGGCATACAAAATTGATCAAAAAATTAAGCATTAACTCTTCCTTTCAATAAACCAATAGAAATTAGTAGTACAATAATTTTAGTTATCTTGTGTATATATATTTTTTTCCCTTCCTTCTTTCTTTCTTTTATCCTTTCTCCCATCCCAGTTGTTCTTTCTTTTGAGCAGATTCTTTCCTTTTCACAATATCTATTGTACCTTTTGGATTTTATTTACTCTTTCAGTTTCTTACACTAGGGAGACAATATATTGCTTACACATAATGAGTCTGATTTATAACATGAGTATGGTCTCGAGTTGTAACCATTTACTTATAAAAGCCTCAAGATTATCTCTCTTTATAGCTGAGTTACATTCCATTATATAAAAATATCATATCTTTTTTAACCATTCCTCACTTGATGGGCATTTGGGTTGTTTCCAAGATTTAGCTATGACAAATGGTTCTGCTATAAAGAGAGGTATCACAAGTATCACTGTAGTATCATGTTTTCAATTTTTCTGGAAAAATACCCAGAAAGGGAATAGCTGGGTCGAATGGGATCTCTAAAAATTCTACATTTTGAGGAATCTCCACACTGATTTCTACAGTAGTTGTACCAGTCTACACTCCCACCAACAGTGGAGAAGTGTTCCTTTTTCCACACAGTCCCTCCAACATTTGTTATGGGTTGATTTCTTGATGATAGCCATTCTTTCTGGAGTGAGATGAAATCTCAGTGCTGTTTTAATTTGCATCTCTCAAATGACCAAAAATGTTGAGCATTTTTCCATATATTTATTTGCCATTTGGATTTCTACATCTGAGAAGTGTATGTTCATCTCAGATGCCCATTTTTGGATTGGGTCTTTGAAATTGGGAGGCATGATATTTTTTAACTCTTTATATGTTCTAGATAGAAGTCATTTGTGTGATGGACAGTTGGTTAAAATATTTTCCCAATTCATGGGTTTTCTTTTTAGTCAGTTGGTGATTTCTTTTCATGTGCAAAATCTCTTGAATAAGATGGATCCCAGTTGTTGATTCTTTGAAGTATTTTCCATGCAGTTTGGTTTTTGTTAATGAACTCTCTGCCTGTCCCTATGTCATCAAGATTTCCACCTACTTTCTCTTCCAGCAGATTTAGTGTTTCTGTTTTAATATTTAGCTCATTCATTCATTTTGACTTTAGTTTAGTGATAGTCATAGACATACATAGGTCTAGTTTCAGTCTTTGGCATATGGAAAGCCATTTTTTCCAGCACCATTTTTTAAAGAGGCTATCTTTATTCCAGTTAACATGTTTGGCTCCTTTGTCAAAGATAAGATGGCTGAGTGTGTTTGTAGTTGTGTCTGCATCTTCTAATATGTTCCATTGGTCCTCAGGTCTGTTTTTTCACCAGTACCATGATGATTTTATTACAGCAGTTTTGTAATATAATTTCAAGTCAGGGATTGTGATGCCTATTGCCTTGCCTTCGTTGCCTAGCCTAAGAATCAAAGAGTTGGTTCCTTGGAAAAATAAGTAAAATTGATAAACCCCTAGCCAACCTTATCAAAAAAAGGAAAGAAAAAACTCAAATTCATGCACTAAGAAATAAAAAATGTGAAATAACTACAGATTCTAAAAAATTCTGAAGGTCATCAATACCTAGTTCAAAAATCTTTGCTCTCATAAGATGAAAACACAGAAGAAATGGACAGATTCCTAGATACATCTGAATTACCAAAGTTGACTCAAGAAGATACAAAAATCCTGACTACCCCAGTAACAGTCAATGAAATTGAAAATGTAATAAAACACTTATAACAAATAAAAGCCCAGGTCCTGATGGATTCACAGCTGAATTCTACAAAAAAAAAAAATTAGAGAAGATTTAACATCAATTCTTCACAATCTCTTTAATGACATTGAGAGGGAAGCAATTCTCCCTAACTCATTCCTGGAGACAGGTGTTACCCTGATACCAAACCACAGAAAGACCCAACCAAAAAAGAGAACTACAGGTCAATCTCTCTAAAGAACATAGATGCAACAATCCTCAATAAAATACTAGCAAACAATGCAGGAAATCATCAAGAAGTTTATACATCGAAACCAAGTGGGATTCATCCCAGGTGTGCAGGGATGGTTCAGTATACACCAATCAATAAATGTAATATAGCATATCAATAGATCAAATGATAAAAATCACATGATCATCTCAATACAGAAAAATCTTTTAATAAAAAGCTTTTTTTTTATAAAAAGCTTCCAACACATTCAACTAACTCATGATAAAAAAAGCTATAGAAAATTGAAATAGACATCTTCACCTCAATCTGATAAAAAGCCATCTATGACAAACCAATAACCAACATCATACTAAGTGAACAAAAACTGAAAGCTTTCACTTTAAAATCAAGAACAAGACAAGGATGTCCACTGTCACCACTTCTATTCAATATAGTTCTGGAAACATTAGCCAGAGCAGTTAGACAA